ATAGGGGTGTTCACCTCGGGCAAGGTTAAGGCCGGCCCGAACCAGGCAAGATGGAACAAAAAATAATACAAGGGTCCGTAAAATAAACTTATTGAATCAAATAGGGGTAAGACCCATAAAAGAGAAGGGATACAAAATATATTTATTTTCAGTCCATATAGACGCAGTCCAATAAGTAGAGGGAGGAAAATTAGACTTATTATGTGGAGAAGCTTAATAAGCCGTGGTGTCTTAGGCACAACCAAGTTTCACTAGGCCATGCTTGGGCTATGCTTGGGCCATGTGTGCAGCCCGTGGGATGGCACAGTACGACCCAACGTATATGCCAGCCCGTATCCGGCCCTTATGACATCAGCCCAGTCCCGGCCGTGCTTAGACCATACCGGAAGGGGCGGCCCATTTGGGCATTTATACGCCGCCGCCGCCGTCCGCCCGCTCCTGGAGCTCGCCCGCGACGTGCGCGGCCTGGCGAGCGTCTTCCACGTCGAGGAGTTCCACGTCGGGATGCCGTTCGGCGCGGCCATGACGTGCCTCGCGCTGTGGCAGCTGAGGCGCGCCGCGCCGTCCGTGTGCCTCGACGCCGCGCTCGCCTACGCCTTCTACAAGCTCAGCGTCATGGCGGCCGATCTCCGGCGGCAGGGCTTCTGCCCCGACCTACTCATCCGGCTCAAGTTGGGTAAGTTCCTCGGCCATAGTGCATCCCTCTATTGGTATTTGGAATCTAATGACATATTTCTATAAAATTCTTGAGGTTTTAGATAAGTTTAGAGTTAAACTGATATAACTTTGATTATTATAAAGCTTAAAAGCACTGGAACAATAATTCTCGATGTTTTAGATTAGTTTAAAGTTAAACTCTTATAACTTTGATTATTAATAACTTTAGCTTAAAAGCACTAAGAACAAATACTATAATAAAAAATATATCATTTATCATATATATTATAATTAAAAAATATAGTCAAAAGATATATTTTGAAAATTATGTCATTCTTCAAACGTCAAGAATTATAAAACCGATAGGAGTAATATCTCGAAGTCAATGATGTTCATATATTTAACTAGAGTCAAACATTCCGTTGATTACTTTTTCTTAACAACGTATCACTCTTTCTGTCTCAAAATATAACTTTTGGTCTCCAAAATTTACCTCAAAATATAACAATTTCTTCACCTATATTATTTTCTCAACCAATCACAAATTTTCGCTATTCAAATTCTCTATCGAACTTCTTTTCTCAACCAACCATAACCTTTCCTCATTTAATTTCATCAATTTTCTTAATATCCATATGCAATTCTAAAACTTTTTTATATTTTGAGACAGATATAGTAGTATTTGAAATCTTTCTTGTTTATCTTGCAATCAAACATGTCATTTGATGTTTGAATTTATTGTCTAAGATCTCTAACAGTATGTGTGTGTGTTCCAATTGCAGTTATCATGGTAGTTATGTACTTCAAGGACATCAACAAAAATATTATCCCCCTTGATTATATCAGGTCAGTATAAGTCACCTTTGTTGGCCGAGCAAAGTCAACTATATTATTTTAGATAGACAGGGACTTTAAGACAATTAATGCGCATAGGATTCACACGTCACACTCACACCATTGCGACCATCTGTGTGTGCATTCCAAACCCTACAAACGTTGAAATATACTCCTCCCGTCTCAAAATAAACGAAACTAGTATGAGATGTGATATTTTCTAGTACAATAAATCTTAACAGAGACTTATCCAGATTTATGGTGCTAGAAAATGTTACATCCCATCCTAGCCTGATTTTTTCTTGGGTATCAAATTGCTATCGTTCTCTTCGGTCTGGTTAGAGTTCATAGCACACACCTCATTTTATAGTCTATTTTATCATGTGCTAAAATATATATAACCACCAAGTGCCTTATGCATTAATTCTTACTTGTCAAAATTATAAACTTTTTACCATTGTGTGTATACACAATTTATTAGAGTTCTTCTTCCAATTCGATTCATTACAAGAAAATGCTATTGGTATATATCTGTACTTTTTATATAAGTGTAACCTTACAAGCAGGCACCACGTTTAGCCACATCATCAAAATAGTTTCAACCGTTGGATCGGTGAGTCTTGGTAGTATTAGCCATTAGAGATGTTCGTCCATTACACTTCCACAGCAATTAAATAGCACCATTAATCCCTGCTCCACCCATCTAAAGACTCTATTTAATCTAGCAGTCAATTAGACAACAATGCCATCAAAATTTCATATTATCTTACCATTCTAGCCATCTTCTGATCAATTTTATTTGATATGTTTGGTTTTCCTGACAAAGCATGTATTCAAATTATGCATCACCAACTCTGTCACAGTTTATCACCATTATTATTGCATATTTTACTTCGATTCATACATACATCTTCTAAATATATCATACCACTCGAATTTCAACCGAAAGTTAGTTTCTATATTCCCGCATCAAAGCGTGGGATATTATCTAGTTATCATCAAAGAAGTACCCAAAAGTACCCCCCCCCCCTTGATTTTTTCAGTAATTTCAAAACACAAATGATTAAGTACATGGTTAGCAAGAGTGGTGGCCAAAAACTTTGTAATATATATCAATTACGCTTCACATACATCCTCCTTCCTTTTTTTTTTGAATAACATGTACGTTCTTGTTGTCGGACATTTGATCCATGCAGTTGAAGTAACTTACATTATTTGCTTACTTATATTCTCGATGCAGGCTAGCCGTTTTCTTCGTTTATTTTTCTTCAGTCTATTCGGAAATCAAAGGCGCGAAGAAATATATGAAATATTTTATTCCCATGATGTTCAAGGGCATCCCAGAAGAGCTTGATAATCTCCCATGTTTTCGTGGCAAGACCAACTGAATTGGCAGTTTTTGTAACTCTTTCCTCTCCTCTGGTTTTATGGCAAGTTTTGTAAAGTAGTGTAGAAATAATGAAAACATGAGGCATGAAGTGCATGCAGTATCAAGCTTTTACTAGCTCTACGACTATGTCTGTCAAGGATTTTTCTGTTTTTCAAATATAGGATTTCCAATGAGATGCCCCTACCTGACATCATTGTTCTTAGATTTAGGGTGTCAAAAGAGATGTTGCAACTCTATGTCAGTGAAATATTTTTTTTCTTAAAACGAACAAGATCAAACAGTGCACGATGTTTCATATTGATATGGAAAAAAAAAAGACTATAACTTTGAAAGACTATAATCAGAAAAAAAAAACACACCACTGTCAATGATTGCATTTTCAGTTCGAAACTTTGGAACCCCCCCCCCCACCCCAAGTTATTATCTCGTCTGAAATTTTCGGTTTTTCTCCATTTTTTGTGAGTTTGGTCAACATTTAGTCAAATTCAATTAAAGTATGTTAATTCTTTTTTAAAAAGATGGTCCAAAAAAGCGTCAAAATTTTGGGTCTACCAAAATGGCCAAAATTTTTAGCGAAATCAAAAGTGAAAAAACATACCACCACACACCAAAGGGCTAGAACTGCACCGATTGCCGCTATGTGTCACTAAACGTGACCAAACCAACAATGTTGCCACTCGCCAACGCCTTCAAAAAAGCTGAAAACACCATGGTATTGTGGACACCACCAGCGAGAGGAGGGTTGCATAGCGAGTAGACAAGAGGGATCGAGTGTCAGTGAAATATACTAAGGGTGCGTTGGTTCACAGGTAAGGTTGGATAGGATATGAACATCCATAGTTCTCATGTCTGATGCTGATTTGCCTTCATGATGTATCACCCCTTATTACTGTATATTTTTGGCTAAAAGAATACGACTGCTTATATGCAATTATACATTATGTTGCCCGAAAGACGCCTTAAAATGGCCTGGCAGAAATTCAGACTGTTTTTAGGAAGCTAGATGATAACCTATCAGCGTTTGGAGAACAAAGCCAAAGAAGAGGAGATGGATCCTAATCTCTCGGGTGGATGTCCACCCGTTTTCTTGCGCAATATGTATAAGCATTAGGATTTGAACACCCACAACTTCAAAGAAGAGGAGATGGATCCTAATATCTCGGGTGGACGTCCACCCGTTTTCTTGCGCAATATGTATAAGCATTAGGATTTGAACACCCACGACCCCATATGATGTTTCATCAAGTTGTAGTTGCCAAACAACTCTAATAATTATGAAGTTACTTCTGCTCGGGGTCGATTTGATACACGGTTAGATAATGGAATCCTGAACGCTGCATCTTGATATATATATACGGTGTCAGGTGAATTCATCGGTCAGAACGAATCCGATCCATCGGTCAACCACGCACACACGTTGATCGATCGATCATGGCGGCGGCGGCGGTGACATCTCTTGCGACAGCCGCCGCACGCCGCGTTCCTCCTCCGGCCGGCCGCCACCGCCGCCGCCGCCGTGCGCCCGTGTCCTCGCCACCCGCACGCCGCCGCCGCCGCGTCCTCATCCTCCCCTACTGCGTTCGTCCCGCGCGCGCGTGGAGCGCAGCTGCTCCGGCGTGGGAGCGGATCAGAGGTCGGCGTCGTGGGCGGGGATGAGCGACGAGGAGACCGCGGAGCTCAGGGGCGAGATGCCGACGTGGTTCCCGAGCCTTGAGGAGCTCCTCGAGTACGAGGCCACGGACTTCAGCCCCGCCGCGCAGCGCGAGAGGTTCCGGCACGAGTCCGGGGATGCGGCGGCCGCGCTGAGGGGCGCCGGCGCCGGCGCCGTCCGCCCGCTCCGGGAGCTCGCCCGCGACGTGCGTGGCCTGGAGAGCGCCCTCCACGTCGAGGAGTTCCACGTCGGGATGCCGTTCCACTATGCCGGCCCATGCTAGCTGTGACGGGTCTAAACCATCACCTCTGACGGATTCGGCCCCTCGTCAGAGATCAGTGGTCAGTGATAACTCTCTTCACCTTTGACGGGTGAAAGGCCGTCAGTGGTGACCAGCCCCTATGACGGGCCACGTATAGAACCCGTCACAGGTAACTATTATCTCAAACGGCCCATTAATTTGTGAGCTGTCAGTGATGTCTACAATCCAGCAAAAAAAAAGAAAAATAGATTGCAACCCGTCACAGGTGTGAAAAAACCCTACAATGGTGGTGCTTGCTATCATCAAACTGACAGCATCACAAAAACTTCAAACTGACCACATCACAAAAACTTCAAACTGACCAACAGTTCATTATCCTCCATCACCGCATCACCATCTCATATAGCAATCATTCACAAAGGGGATGGCAAGAATTTATCATACAACAATATCATATCATTCACAAAAGGGGCACACTGGCTGACAGTTCGTCGTCCTCCATGATGAACCAGCTACAGGAGATGCAGGTGGAGGCGCCGCGCTCGCAGCCACCGGGGAGGCAGCGGAGGGTCTCGAAGAGGCACTCCACTGCTGCTGCACCAACAAACAAAAATCAAGAAACAAGAAACCACCATTAGAGCCCACATTCTCAAACCAAACACCTCAAATCAACAACAACAACAACAACAACAACAACAACAACAACAACAACAACAACAACAACAACAACAACAACAACAAGAAGAAGAAGAAGAAGAAGAAGATGATGATGATGATTTAAGTTAAAAAAAACCGCACCGAGGTGTCCGGTGGGTGGGGATGGAGGAGGCGGTATCTGCGCATCCCCGGCCTCGTGGAGGTCGGATCCGGCGGCTAGCGCGGTCGGTGGTGGAGGTGAGGGAGGCATCGGTGGCGTTGGCGGCCGGGAGGCGGGGGGAGGCGTCGGCGGAGGTGGAGGCATAGGTGGCGGCCGGCTAGCGCGGGCGGAGGCGGAGGCGCGGCTGGAGGCATCGCCGGCAGAGGCGGCGGAGGTGGAGACCGCTACCGCCGTCGGGCCTCGGCCGCCTCCA